GCGGTGCGCCTCGGTGTGCGGTGGCCACACGCCCCTCGGTGGGATATTCTGGCAGGAACCTGGGTTTGTGTTTCGTCTCCGAGGTGGCTGCCTGTCTGCGGTCACACCACGGCTCATTGACCTGGGCTCTGAGCAGCCCTTCTTGATTCCAGGATGAAAAGAGCCATGAAGGGAACTTTCATTCACTCCCGGGTTTGCCTGCCCATCAGGTCTGAGGGCAGAGCTGCAAAGGGCCCCTGTGTGCCCAGGGAGGCCACAGCCAGACCAGCACCCTGCCTCCAGAGCCCCGGCCTTCACCATGCCTCTCCTCCTCCTTCTGCAGGGCTGTGTGTCGACTGCCATTCCTACCCCCTCAAAGAAGATCCTTTAGAGATACTGTTGCTTCTACCAATTCTTCACACTTTTCATCCTTGGGGAAAAAGAAAAGTTAACAAGCTCATTTATTTGCTTCTTAACTACTGATTCTCTTTTAAAAACACAAGGTTAACAATCATTTGTTTCTCTGAGGGACAGAATAAAATACATTGTGTACGCCAAGTCATCTTAGACTGATGATAGTATATTTTAAATCATATAATGTCTAAATTGTCAAATATCAGATCAAAACACAGTTGGTTAAAGGTAAAATGTGATGACTTTTAAGGCAGTTTCATAAATAAATTATATTAATTTACTTCTATACCATAAGTTAACTGAACCCTTAAAAATAGATAACTTTTTTTTGACCCATCTTTGGCTGTGCTGGGTCTTCACTGCTGCATGGGCTCTTCTCTAGTTGCGGCGAGGCAAGGTCGCTCTTCCTGCGTGTGCTGGCTTCTCATTGCAGGGGCTTCTCTTGTTGCTGAGCATGGGCTTTAGGGTGCACAGCCTTCAGTAGTTGCGGCCCATGGGCTCAATAGCTGCAATTCCCCGGCTCTAGAGCACAGGCTAGATAGCTGTGGCCCACGAGCTTTGTTGCTTTGCAGCATGTGGGATCTTCCCAGACTAGGGATCGAACCCGAGTCTCCTGCATTGGCAGGTAGATTCTTTACCACTGAGCCACCAAGGAAGCCCAAGATAACTTTTTGAGGACAGTAAAAAGTCAGTATGCCCTAACCTGGAAAAGCAGTGTTTTGTAATACAAGGAATAAATCCTTGCAGCAAGGCCTTGGGATAGTCCTTGTGAATTAAAATAAGTAGTTAGCAAATAGAAACTTTTGGAACCAGTTGCCAGAGCAATCTGCTCCAAGATGGAGGCCCGCCATCCTCGGGGGCATGGGCCGAAGCCTTGAGGCCCTTGACCAGAGCAGAACTTCCGACTCCCATGTCAGGCCCAGCTACACTCACCACTCCAAGCACCTGGGAGAGCTTTGCGCTTTGCAGAGACTACCGAGGTGGGTCAATTTTAATTTGCTGGGCAAGAATTATATCGCACCCTGATAGCTGCTATACTCTGAGAGCTTACTGCATCCACTTCACAATTATGTACATTTTACAAGCATGGTTTCATCCAGATTTCACACGTTCCTATGAGGAATGTGTTGTTAGGTAGGAAAACTGGGCTGAAAGACACTAAGGGACTAGCCAAAGTAACACAGATAAGAGAGGGGATTTCATGAAAAGATTTTCGTGAGGCTCTGGCCTACGTAATCCCGCTTCTGGGCTCTGGGGTTCAATTAGTAACAATAACAACTCATTGAATCCTCAGCCAGCCCTGTAGATTCCATAGCCTTAGCCCCTACTGAACAGATACTGTTGTTTAGACACACGGAACTGGGCCAAACTCACACAGTTGTTAAGTGTTAATCTGGAACTAGACTACGATTGTCCTGGCTCCGCAAAGCACGCTGCCAGCCACTAGACCACACTGCCTCCAGGTGACGAACGTCCCTCTGTTGCACCGTTCTGGGCCAGCTTTGGGAGCACCAGGGCACAGCGTCATGGTGCAGACGTCCCTTCTCATAAAGGGCACTTCACCATCACCAACAAGGTGGTTGCCTCACGCTGCTGCAGCTGCTCTGCCTTTGCAGGGCTGGGGCAGGCCTGCAGGTGCAGGCAGGACAGCAGTCTGGGCTCACCATGCGACAGGACAGAGGAGGAGGACTTGGGAGCCCCTGAGTCAGTGCACATGTGGCGAAGGAAGGACTGGGCCATTGCAAGTAAAGAAAAAGAAAACTGGAAAAGCAATGTTTTAAATGCTTACTTGGAGATACGAAATGTCTTTCCATTTTACAAAGTTTATTTTCTTAATGTATTAGGAACTTTGGGTTGGAAGTGACAGAGACACAGCTCAGAACAGTTTAAACATCCAAAGGGGATTTCACCCAACTAAAATGCCCCAGAGTGTTACTGATGCTAATCTCAGCTTCATCCCAGGGGGCAGATAATGACTTCAGATCCCTTTGCCTCCCCATTCACCCTCCCCTTCCCCGTGCCAGGGCGCCATTCTCTCCTACCCTAGACAGGACCCTCCTGTGGCCAGGTGAGATGGCCCAGCTTAACTGTTCCAGGGGGAAGCACATCTCTTTTCAAATTAACCTGCATCCATTTCCCAAGGGCACTCATTTTACGCTTGCTTGGGTCACATGTTCTTCCTAGACCAGTCACCACATCTGCCCTGGGTCATGTGCCCATTGTTCTGGAGGGAGGGGAGAGTCCCTTGACTGACATACAGCAGGATCACATAGAGGAAGGGGGGGGATGTTCCCTAAAGAAAGGGGAGTTGGGGAGACAACATGACCGTGACACTTCAGGCTTCCAACTGCAGGAATTTACTAAGGAAATTATTACTGATGCGGCTACCCACGTCTGGGGGAAAGTCAATGCAGAAAAGTAACAAGAACTACAAGAAGAGTTTGCAAATTCTCTCAAGGAGCACATACAAAAATCTGTCTAAGACTTAGACTCTAAGGTAAAGCCTTTATGAGAATGTTAGGGGTTTTAAAATAAATCCTAAAAGGGAAGGAGTAAAAGCTTGCCTTGCTGATCTTTGCAGGTGAAATGAAGTGCAAGCTAGGTGGAAAAATCAGAAGTCTCTCCCAGGCTCGGGATGGCGGGTGGTTGCCCAGGGCCAGTCCCCTCTGCAGGCCTCTGCCCAAGCCTGTGGCCCCCAGCAGCAGCCTCTAGGGCCACAGCCAAGCCCACCTGCACCTCTGGGGCCGAGTTAAGGACTTCTGCTTCCAGACCTTTCCTCTGCTTCTCACAAGCACTAAATTCACATCTTTTTATCCCCATTTTCCAAAAAAAGGCAGCAGACTCTCCTCCCCCACAAAGCAAACAGAAATCAGTAAGTTCCAGGAGGCCTCCCTGACCAATATCTGTGCCATGTCATCACTAAACACTCCCGCTTCCAACGGCCGCTCACCTCTCCTTAATACCGCTCTATTTCAGCAGGCGGCCCTCCATAAATCCTTCCGGGCCTTCCACTCTAAACAGGCCTCTTCTCACGCGGAGACCAGCCTCCTTGCCAGCCGTGTAAACACTCCCCAGCTCCCAGGGGAGGCTCTGACGTGCCCAGCCTGGCCTGGGCATTTACGATCAGATCATGGCAGCCAGCGACTGGGGTGGGGTGGGGGGGCCCTCCTGCCCAGGGTTTAGAGAGGAGCCTGGCGCGGTCCAGATGGGAAGAGTGCCCCAGGCACAGTTGTAATGAGGCATTTATGGTGTGGAGCCGGCCCCAGGCAAAACCGGGCAAAAGGTGTGGCCTGAGACATTTCTGAGGTATTAATGTATGTTTCCTTCTCTGGGTTTCTACCTCCTCCACCTCATTTCCAAGCAAGTAGTCAGGCCTCTGTAAGTCTTCACCTCAGGGATTTTCGCTCCACTGAAAGCTCCAAGTATGTGTGTCTGGGGGAGGGGGATCTGGTCATGTAACCCTCCCAGCTCCCGGGACAGCTTCTGTTGGAGGTCTTCACACAGGAGCAGGAGGAAACGGAAGACGCTGCGGGTCTCAGGGAAGCTGGACCGCCTTCACTGAGGTTTCTGACTGGACAGTGCCACTGAAACCAAAAGTGCCCCTGCAGGGACCTCACAGCTTGAGTGACGCAACCATTAGGATGGACGGGAGAGTATGGCCCTTCCGCCATACCCCTGAGGACCATCCTGATCTTTGTGAGGCAACAGGGGGGAGCTTCAGTTCTGAGTGGCTTGAAATGTCCCCTCAACTCCACCAGCTGGGAGTTCAGAACTGTCTGTAAGTTTATTAAGAGGTGTGGGCAGAGTTATGCCTCCTCCAAAGATGTCCTCTTCCTAATCCTTGGGCCCTATGAACATCCTGTTTTACTTGGCAAAAGCAAATTAAGGTTGCAGATGGAATTAAAATTGCTCATCAGCTGACTTGGAGGACCTCAATGGGCTTAATGTAATCTTGCACTTAAGAGGGTGGAAGAGGCCTTCAGAAAAACAGAACCCTAAAAAGATTTAAAGCTGTTTTGTCTTGCTGCCTGTGAAGCAGGAAGGGAAGTAACCACAAGCCAAGGAATGCACGTGGCCTCCAGGAGCTGAAGGAGGCAGGGAGAGGATCCTCCCCCAGAATCTCCAGAAGGGACACAGCCCTGCCAACCCCTCCATCTTTGCCCAGTGAGAGGCATGTTGGATTTCTAACCTAGAAAAGTTGTAAGAAAATAAAGCTATTGTTAGCATCACTGGCTCAATGGACAGAAATTTGAGCAAACTCCAGGAAACAGTGAAGGGCAGGGAAGCCTGGTGTGCTGCAATCCATGGGGTTGCAAAGAGTTGGACATGACTTGGTAACTGAACAACAGCAAAAAAAAAACTATTGTTTTGAGCCACCAAGTTTGCAGTGACTTATTACAGCAGCCATAGAAAACTAATACAAAAGACAATAAGCGGAACTGATGTTTATTACACCCTGTGGCTCTGACTTGGTCCCCTCCCTGCAGGTTCTCTTCACCCTCCCTATGATCCCTCTGGACTTGCCAGGTTGCTCAGGTCTCTTGCAGGGGCCCCACCAAAATCCAGTTCCAAGTATTTCAACTCCACAAACCTTGTCTGTGTGCCAGTTGCATGCAGAACACCACGAGAGAGCACTGCGGACGGAAACCAGGATATGACGTGGCCACTGTGCTCGGGATGGTGAGCGAGAAGAAGAGAGAGACACACATGGAACTGGTCCGGGCCTGGGGCAGGCTGTGGCAAGCGCAGTTCCAGAAGTATGAGCCAGGTGCTATGACTATAGAGGGAAGAATGAGATAAATATCAGCAGAGAGAATCTGAATTACTCATCTCATTGAAGAAAAAGCCGAAGGCAGGACTGAACTCAAGCCCAGATGAGAACTACCTGGCATCCGTACCTATACCTTGTCCATTCAGACATCACTAATCAATCGCTAATTCCTTTTTTTTTTCCGGCAGAGCTCAGATTTTGTCTTGGGATTTTTCTCAGTTTAGTGTAATAGCAGTTGAATGAGTTGGGTACTTGTGGTGAAACCTATTTGCCACATCTGTGGTTCAAGTATTTATCGCCCTGAGATAGCCAAGCCAATGTGCATGCTCAGTCATGTCATGTTTGACTCTTTGTAACCCCATGGACAGTAGCCCACCAAGCTCCTCTGTTTGTGGGATTTTTCAGGCAAAGAATACTGGAGTGGCTTGTCGTTTCCTCCTCCGGGGGATCTTCCCAAGTAGGGGACTGAACCCACGTCTCCTACATTGCAAGTAGAAGATGGTGTCAGGCAAATAATCTAGAAAAGGAATGTCTGAACTTCAATCACTCTTCTTTTTATTACTGCATGGAGAATCCCCACCTGGGTTACCTGTAGTCTCTAGCCATCCTTAGTCATCCAAGATTGTCTGGTATCTTGGATTTCTACCCCTAAAACACTTCTGGTTGGTACTGTAATCCATCAGAGCAAGACAATCAGGAATGTCCCTCCTGGGGCAATAATGAAAGAATTCAATGACCTCTCTCTAGACTTCATGTCCCAGGCTGGGGCCAACAGAGATTGGTGTGAGGTATGAGCAAGAAGATTCAGGAGCTAAATTTTCAAAACTGAGCTTCCAAAGTTGAGATTCTTGCCAGCCACTGAGGTACCCATGGCTGCTACCCATAGCTACTCTTACTGCCCCTGGGGAACCAGAGGGAAAATGACCCAGCATTCTAAAAATTCCACAGGGGTGGCAAGGTGGACCATGGATGCTGGCACACCCCTGTCTGTACTACCTAGCTTTAATATTTTAATTGTAAATCAATACTGTCTTACATTTTTAAAATCTAAGCAGCAGAAGGATATGAAATTTAAAATGAAAATTTCCTTTTCCTCTAGCTTCTTTCCAACTCCCCAAAGGTAATCTTGAAGTTTTTCTTTTCAAATCCTTCTAGAAAAACTGAATGCGCAGAATGTATGTATGAATAAGTTTGTGGTTAAGTGCCTTTCCCCCTGTGAATATAAGTGGAGTTGTGATCACACTGAACCCACTGTTCTGTAGTTTATTCAACTTCACTGACTGATCTTTCCATAAGATTTGGGGTGGGGACCAGCCTGGTTCTGGAGACAGACCTCCTGGGATAAAATCCTGGCTGAGCACTTATCCCTTGGGTGACTTGGGGTAAGTGCCTTAACATTCCTATGTTCCCCCTACAAGTGGAGAGACAACTCCAGGAATACTATTGAAAATACACTTTCCTTTACAGAGTTCTTATTTGGAGCCAATGTTATGTTTGTTCATGTAACAATTTTTAAGACTCTATCCAGTACACATCACTATCTCAGCTTGGTTCAGATTCAAAAGTAATGCCAGGAACTGGGGTTCAATGGCTCTTCATGAGGGTCACACACTTTCCCGCTCCTCTCTCCAGCATTGGAATACAGACTCCACCCTCGAATGGCCACTGTCTCCAGTGCCCTGGGAAAGTCCCCTTACTGGTTAGCTCATTGGTTGTTGTCACCACCCCTCAAGATGCAGCTCAAGAGCTCCCCTCTCCTAAGCATCGGCATGCCTCCCTCCCAGGAGAAGTGGCCCCCTTTGGTTCGGCTGATCCATCAGCCCACCTCTATTATGTCACTGATCACCTCTGTGTGTGTGTGTGTGTGTGTGTGTTCAGTCACTCAGTCGTGTCCAACTCTCTGCCACCCCTATGAACTATAGCCTGTCAGGCTCCTCTGTCCATGGGATTCTCCAGACAAGAATACTGGAGTGGGTTGCCATGCCCTCCTCCAGAGAATCTTCCCAACCCAGGGATTGAACCCATGGCTCCTGCATCTGCTGCATTGCAGGTGGATTCTTTACCATTGAGCCACTGGGGAGGCCCTGGTCACCCTTGTCATGACCCTTTTCCTATATGTCTTCTTCCTCTACTAGACTATGAACGCCTACAAATCAGGGACTCTGGCTCGTTTACCTTGAGGACCCGAGTGTAAACACTTGCTATCTAGAACAGAGGGCCATTCTAGGGGAGTTGAATGAATGAGTGAATGAATGATGGGCTGAATAGATATCTGAGATTTAATATGTACAAAATAGAACTCTTTTTTACCCACACCTGCTCATTCTCCCTCCTCCCCACCCTGGTAAGCAGCACCCCTATTCACCCAGTTGTCCAAATCAAGGACTTTGGGTCAGATTTGACTCCTCTCTGTCACCACCCCACCACATCCCACCCACCACTACATCCTGGGGCTCTCACTCCATAGTATGTCCCCAGTCCCACTTCTTCCTGCCACCTGCCTCACCACCATCCAACTGAGAGCCACCACCACCTCTTACCTCCACTACGCAGCACCTCCCTGACCTGTGGCCTCTTACCTCCACTATGTAGCACCTCCCTGACCTGTGACCCTGCCTCCGCTCTGCCCTGCTCCCAGGCCCACCTTCACGCAACTGCCGGGAGACTCTCCTGCAAAGCAAAGGGCGTCTTCCTACTCGCCGGCTTCGTGCCCACCTCCCCACCCCCAGTGACTTTCCATAGCTTTTACAATAGAATCCAAATGTTTTGCTGGGGGCTACAGGTGAGCTGTTTCCCCTCTTGTTGCAGGAAACTAGCTACATGGAACAGGAGCTGTTCCATATCCTGCCCAGCGGTCATCCCAGCACATAGCACTCTTCCCCCAGATCACAATTCTGCAGACCCCTAGCCTCCTTGAAGAGCCTTCAGCATGCCAAGCTGTGTTCTCTCTTACGCCCTCTGCCTGGAATTCTCCTCCTGACCTCGTGCGCCCCCTTCCCTTCATCTGGGGCTCAGTGTAAATTCACCTTCTCTAGAAGGCCTCCCTGATGCCCTTCTATGATAACTCTCCCCAGGTCACTCACCAGCATATCACCCTGTTTTATTTACTTCACTTACTTTTGAAGTGTGATGTTGGAGAAGACTCTTGAGATTTCCTTGGACGGCAAGGAAATCGAACTAGTCCGTCCCAAAGGAAATCAGTCCTGAATATTCATTGGAAGGACTGATGCTGAAATTGACACTCCAACACTTTGGCCACCTGATGGAAAGAGCCGATTCATTAGAAAAGACCCTGATGCTGGGAAAGATTGAAGGTGGGAGAAGGGGACGACAGGATGAGATGTTTGGATGGCATCACTGACTCGATGGACATGGGTTTGAGTAAACTCCCAGAGCTGGTGATGGACAGGGAGGCCTGGCGTGCTGTAGTCCATGGGGTTGCAAAGAGTCTGACATGACTGAGTGACTGAACTGCACTGAACTACTACTTTGAAATCATCCAGAAGGTCGGCCCAGACAGTAGAGACCTTTCCTGTCCTGTTCCATGCTGAATCTTCTCTGCCTAGCACAGGACCTGGCACATAGTAGGTGCTCAAAAATACTTGTGGGATAAAGGAATCATGGTAACCTGTTTGGGCCACATTTCCAGAGAGGTTGTGAGGTTATGCCCTGATTTCAATGAGCTTCAATTCCAGTTCTGCTAGGTAGAAGGAACATTGAATTTGAAGAATATTTGATATGATGGTTTTTAAAGCTTGTGGTTTCTGTGGCACTTAGTATCATTTTTCCTATCTTTGCAAGGGACAGAAAGATTGGAGGAGGTTAAAACATTGGAGAAGACTCTTTCAAGGATGGAAATGTGCTGGAGCCATGGTGCTGTCCAAAAGCCCCTTTGAACTGAGACAATCAAGGAAGCAAAAAGTGCCTGCCTAATTCTCATTTCTAAATCAGTCATCTTCACAGTGTTGATGTGGTTAACAGCCAATTAAGAAATCTTGACATTATTCAAGATAGATAAAATTGAAATGGAGTCTGAGAGAATTTAGATATCTATAACAAGCTGAAATTCAAGGACCAAGAAAAAGTCTTCCTGATTGAACAGTCTTCCTGAGGAAAACCACGGGACATTCAGACTGATGCGCCCTCAAACCATCTCAATAGGGATTGCATTGCCACTAAAAATACCAGTCATTGTGTCTGATTTTAAGTGTGGAATTATTCACAGCCAAAAAAATATGGTTCTGGTATCAAGGGAGGCTGGGGCACCCCTCGGGTTTGTAAATTGCGGGCCTGCACTTGACAAACTTTGTCGAGGGAGCAGCGACCGGGCTTCGTGCCTCAGTACCGTTGAGACAGTGTTTGTGGGAAAACCAGGGGGTGATCCTGTAAACTGCACATTATATAAAGTGTCCTCTGAAGCACCATCTCATCTGGCGTTTGGAACATAACCAAAATGACTTCTCTCTAGATAACTGCCAAAACAGCCCGTTGAAAATAAAAAAATGCAGTATCTAATAAGCTAATTATTTAAAAACCAACAGGTTTAGAGGTTTCCTACCATTTTCTGCCCTAAAATACTTGAAAACTATCCCCTATCCCCGACTCTAACAGTGGCCCATTGTGAGGCAGGGTTAGAGGCAGAAGGCAGCCTAACCCTTGAAGGGGTGCAGGCTGAAAAGCCTCATAATTTTGCATCCTCTCCTGGGGGTTCATGGCCTTGCCTGCCTTTGCTCTTTGACTCCCCACCAGGGAATAACACCATGAACTTACATTTTTAAAAGGGGATCTGACAGAAAGCAAATCAGTGATTCCCTGCAGCTAGGAGTAGGAGGGAACTGACTATAAATGGTCATGGGGGAACTTTCTGGTACCGTGGAAGCCTTCCAAAGCTGAGTAATGGTTGCACAACTATGTAAATTTACTAAAACTCACCCAACTGTACACTTAAAATGGATGAGTTTTATGGTATATAAATTACACCGGAACAACACTGCTAAAAAAGTGGATCAAGCCAAACTGTGTATGCAGATACAGTGTTTGGGACAATGCGTCCAAACCAAGCTCAGCTTCTCCACCCGGCTTCTCCAGCAGTTGCTGTCCTCTCAAGGAGCAACAGGCTCCTGGGTGTCTGCCATCTTTAGCCTTCTCTCTTACCACCTCCATGTGACCAGTTTTACCACTCCAATATCTTTTGAATCAGTTCACGTCTTCCCATCTCTGATACCACTGCCTCGCTGAGCCTGTCATGGTGTCTCCTGAAAGGCAGTCATCACCCCTTCATGACGGCCTGCCCTCACCTCCCAGTGCATTTCTCCCTCTATCTCAAGGATGAAATTCTTTCATCGGCTGCCCATGGCCCTCAGGAGAGCACTCCAGATCCTTCGCAGGGTACAGTTTACAAGTTCTCCCACAGCCTCACATCTGTTTATTTCTGTAGTCTTATCTCTTGACAAACCAGATTCTATACCAAAGTGACCCACTTATCTTTATTGATTCCCTTGAAACAAGACAAGGTTCCCTTCCCTCCTTTGCTCACACAACCTGCTCTCCACCCACAAGTACTGCTCTGGCAGAGACAACTGGTGGTTGCTCCCAATAGCGCCTTCTCTTCCTTACTAACAACTCTGATTTTACCAGGATATATCACTAGATATGGTTAAAGACCTCATTCCCTAGCTTCCCTTGCAGCTATGTGGAACAGTGCGATACATTTTGATCAATGAGGAAAGTATGGCATAGCAAGAGGCTGCCTTAAAAGGAACAGGCCTTCCTGCCTTCTACCTTTATTCGACCTAGAATGAAGCTGTCATGACTGGAGCTCCTGCAGCCATCTTTGGCCAAGAGATAATGCATGGCAGTGCAATAAGATAGAAGGGCCTTGGGTTAAGAACACCATTGAGCTTCCCTATCACCACTGAACTTTGTTTATGTGTGAGAAAAACTAACTTCTTCCTGTTTTGGCCACTATTTGAAGGGGGGGGGGATTCTTGGTTATTTGTAGACAGATAAGATTATTAACTTATATTAAAAAAATGCTTTCAAGCTCCAACTTAACTGACTGACCCACTTTACTGTCCATCAAGCTCCTGTTTCTCCTCTAACACTCAGTGGAGGAGCCGCCTACTTTCGGAAGCTACCCTGACCTCCCAGAGGCAGGTTGGATGCCCATCCTCAGGCCTCCACAGCCCCTGGCACTGTTTCCCATCATGACATTGTTAAATTAAATCTGTTCACATTTTGACACCATCACTGGATTCCTGAAGGAGCACTAGGTCTGGCAGAGTAGGGTGTCAGGGTGCTTGCTGGATGAGAAATTATTTAACACCCAAGTGATTAACCCACATGAAACAATCATGCTGCTGTTTTGAAAAGGAGCCAGGTGGGCAGTTATTTCAGTTTTATATCAATACCACCTCTCTGGATAGATCTGTAAACAACAGGCCTGGATATATTACACACATCAATAATTGTCACAAAAACAATCAAAACTTCACTTGCAATGTTAAGAAACACAAGCTGTGCCTTTGAAATTGTTAATGGTTAGATAAGTCCAAATCTTTCTATTTGAGTACCTAAGGACATGCTAAAAAAAATTGTTACTGACTCAGGAAGAAAATATCAAGATGAAAAGAGAAAATAAGTGACAACTCTGACAATAACTTGCAAAAACACAGAATAAATATTCAGACAACATATTGATTTAAAATAGATTCCTATTCAGTTACAGACACCACCTACCTAAAAACACATTAGGCACATGAATCTCAGTATTCCTGATTGGATTTTAAAACCAGACTTATGGTTTCATAACCCTACTAGCTTTTGGAACCAAAGTGGAAATTAAAGATCTTAAAGGCCAAGCAAATCTAAGATGGAGGTGGGAGAAGCATTTAAAAACAAGAGCAATTATGAAATAAAACTGAAGGCTGATTCAGAGTCAGGTTGGAAAAGGGGGGGAAGAAAAGAAACAATGTTGAAAAGACAAATCCTGAGAATTAACATCACCAGCTCAAAACTCACTGTTTATACTTCAGCAGTTAAGAAACCTCAGAGGTCACAGTGCTGCTCACAGTAACAGTGATCTCATTTTCAAAACTGCCTATTGATACTGACCTGCAGTTGGATTTTGTGGAAAAGAAGCTTTTCTTCCTTATAGAATTTCAGCATCAACATCGAGAGTGTTAGTGGATGCCTCACGTATAAGCTTATGCTGTGATATTTTAACACACCTAAACTCTAGTGAACATTCTGGAAGGCATCGCAGCAGGGAACCAAACATCAGGGAGGCTATTAGCAATTTAGCATCTCATTTCATGTGAGAATGTGAATGCCATGTTCTCTAGTACTCACGATGTCGCTCTGGGCCATGTTGGATTCTAAACTTTCAATTATCTACCCTCATTATTTGACTGCTTCCCCCCATCCCAAAGCCCTTTTCCTTTCTGTGACTCTGCATGCATCAGGGAGTCTCTTGGGGGGCTTGGTTAAAGCAGATGCAGTGGTGTGACTTGCAGTCCTGTTTGCTGAAAGTACAGGGGAAGCTCTTGAGTCAGGACAATCACCCATTCGAGGGGACAACGTTAAGCCTCAGACTGAAGTTTCAAAGATCCATTTGTTCTAGGGATATCTGTCCTGGGCCAATAGGGGGTTGGGGCTACAGAGGAATTCTAAAAAGCTTTAAAGTTGCATCTTGAATCCTTCTGGTTCTTGGGCTATGACTTTTAGTTCACCATTAGGCTCATAAGAAACCAGAAAGTCCAATATACTTCACTTCTGGAGTCATTGGAGGAAATGCTTCAGAAAAGCTTTTCAGAGAAAAGCTTGAGGTATAAGTGCCAATATTAAACAAATATATTTCCTGCACACTAGGGTGATGAAAAAATTGTTTTGGATTAGAAGTCAGAGGTCTCGGGCTTGAGTCCTAGCGTGTTAGTCAGTCAGTGGTGTCCCACTCTTTGTGACCCCATGGACTGTAGCCTTCCAGGCTCCTCTGTCCATGGGATTCTCCAGGCAAGAATACAGGAGTGGGTAGCCATTCCCTTCTCCAGCTGATCTTCCCTACCCAGGGACTGAACCCAGGTCTCCCACATTGCAGGCAAATCCCGTCTAAGTCATGGGGGAAGCCCTCTGAGTACTAGCCCACCTGCTAAATAGCATAGTGTCCTTGGCCATTAACAGCACTGGCACTAGCATATGCAAGCCTGAATCATGTGACTTTCATACATTGTACATCGTTTTCACAACACTGCAGCAAAACAGACCTTGATGCCATTTCAGATTAGGAAACTGAGAGAAAATTGAGATCTGTAGCTAACCAGTGGTCCAGCTGGGGTTTGGACGCATTCAGATAGTTACACCTGCTTACAGGAATACTGGCGTTCCCCGCGCTCCACACAAATCTACCCACCTTGCAGAACTTCGTTTATCACCTGTTAGGTGAGGTTTTGGCCTGTCTCTGGGGTCACCTCTTGCTGTAAAATGCTTGATCTCCAAATTCCTGGAGTGAACCACCGTCCGTTATTAATTTTTGGTGTTCACGTGTTTCATCGTGCACAGGGATGGATGCTGTGGTTTCTAATGAACAGGTTTGTTTGTAAATGTGTGCTCCTACAATTCCAGAGCATTCTTGAGAGGAGGTTGATCCTCCCGACATCTTGTTCACCCTGTTCATTTGTTTGGCAAACCTTTTTGAATGGAGGAAAAAATACGACTTGCCGTCCCACTGCCATCTATAACTGTGGCGGGACAACATGAGCAAAACTTAGCAACGTGTGAAATTCGCTCAGTCGGTGGGGCTGTCTGTGACCCCAAGGGCTGTAGCCCTCCAGGCTCCTCTGTCCATAGGATTCTCCAGGCAAGAATACCGGAGTGGGTAGCCATTCCATTCTCCAGAGGATCTTCCCAACCCAGGGATCGAACCCAACTCTCCCACACCGCAGGTGGATTCTTTACTCTCTGAGCCACCAGGGAAACCCACGTGGTAACGCAAATCCCAAGGCCCCCTGCAGACCGACGGAGCAGAACTCTGGGGGTGGGGCTCCGGCGCTTGGAGTTTAACATCCTCCGCCCCCACCTCCTTCGAAGAACTCGCGAGGCGCACTCAAAGAAGTTTGAGGACCACAGGTCTAGGACCACTGATTTTTCCACCTGAGTTACCCGTTCCCAAGAGTTGGCTCGCAGGCGGGGCGGGCAGGCCGGGCGTACGTTAATTTAATAATCAAATGCCATTTTCAAATAGCAGTGCCTTTCTGGGTGCCCTCCGTGAAGCAGGGGAGGACTGGGAGGCGAGGGAAATTGGGGTAGACTCGGGGAAGGTCGGGGCAGGGGTGGGGATGCGCCGCGAGGCGAAGGTGAGAGGAGGAGGAGGACGCTGCCCAGCCTGGCAATCCAGCCGGTCGGAAACGGCGTGCAGGGCCCCGAGCCGCAGGAGCCAGAGCCAATTACAAGTTTACGTAAGAGACCCGGACCCTCCCGCCTCCCCGGCTCCGCCCCGCGCCCCCGCCCCGGCGGATGCGGGGGGGATCGCCCTCGGAAGCGGGCTGGGATGGAGAACGTCTTGTCGACCCAGGACGGAGGCTGTCTTTTCTGCCTGCTTGCGGGAGAAACTTCTTGGGCGGCGCTTCGGTGCTCTGGAATCCTCGGGCGCCCCCAGACCTTCCTGCGAATCCGGGGCGGGAGCCGGAGGCGGAGGCGTGCCGGGCGCGGTGAGCTCGCCGGCGTTTATGTAACCGCGGCCCCTCGCGGAGGACCGTGCGAGGCACCGAGTCACGGGCGCGGCGGGGCCGGCCCGGCCTCGCCCGCCTGCGGGACCCGTCGGAGGACGCGCCCGGAGTCGGCGCGGGCCCGTTTACCCGGAGGCGGGAGGCTCGTGATCGGCGTCCGACGTTATCAACCCCGGGTGACATCTGATGCGGGCCAACCAGCTCGGTCCTCCGGGACGCGGCCGCCTGGATGGCGGAGGACCCGAGTGAAAGCCGCCCCGGCCGCCTCCGGATTTTGGTGGAACCGGAGGCGTCTGTGCTGAGTCAGGGAAACCTAGTGCGAAAATGCCAGGGGAGGAAGAGCCACTCTTCTAGACAGAGATTCCGGGGTTCTTCTGGACTAGCAGCAGAGGGGCCCGGGAGAAAGTTTATGGGGCGGCCGACAGGCAGCGGGCCACGCAAGCCCCTCCGCAGGTTTCTGGGTTTGTTTCAGAGCTTGAGGGGCCCCGACCCCATTTAAAGACTGCGACGACCACGTGGGTTACCGCTCACAGCTTCTGCAGCCGCGAGTCTGGCCCAGGGACCAGCCTCGCCCTCACCCAGGCCTCCAGCACCTGCGTTTGAACGAAAACCCAAAACTCGCGTAGGGGTCCGAGGAGCACGTGAATGCGGGTAACACAGGCGTCCTCCTGCGGAGAGTGCGCGGCGGGTCCGCGCGCAGGGCCTGCGCTCCACGCTCAGTGTTTGTGGGAATGCAGTCAGGGTCTTTGACCTTTAGTTGATGCAATGGAGATTTTATCAGATCCTGACGTCTACTCAAGACTGTGAAACAATCATCTGTTGATTAAGGCCGGGGGTGGGGAATGGGGAACACCTCAACTCTGGAGAGGACCCAGTGGGAAAAGGGGACTGCATATAAACACTTCTGGTTTATATGGTGACCCCGCCCTTGATGGCAAGCACACTCGAGATTATGTACGATTTATTTGTACATAAATAGGAAAGAAGAAAGGAAAGAAGAAAAAGAAGACAAGGTGTTTCTTCACCGTTGGGAGGAAGCAAAACAAAACAAAAGAGCCAACTTGTTGCTTTCACTGGCAACAGTTAGCTCCAAAAGCAATTTCCTCACTTAAAAGGAAAACAAATGAAATCAGGTGGTAGGCTTTGGAAAGGAGGAGCAGAGAGTTCAGAGGAGTGGAAACCTGGCTTTATTTACCTGTAGGGCCTTGTTAAGACACATTTGCCTTGAGATAAAAGGTTTTTCTTTTGGGACAATCCCAAAATGACTTTGCTTGATTCAATTAAGCAAGGCCTAATGAAAGAGAACTCCAGCTTGGAGATATGCATCATCTCACCAGGTGAATTGTAAATACATTCTGACCAGGTTTAAGAGGCAAGCTCTTGAAAATTTAATCTATTTTAAAAATGCATATCCTTGCCACAAATTGCTTTGAAGAAGATCACTGTGCTGATTGCATGCTGAGATAATTATTCTGTATCACCACTTAGGGAACAAGATTTTTTTGATGAAGACTACAGTGTCAGTCTTTGTTAATGACTTGGGAGGGGAAGGAGAGAATCAGATACAGCTAGGGCTGTAGGTCTTTTTTTTTTCTCCTTTTTTAAAAAAAAATTCTTCTGCCTCCTTTTCATGAACTCCTTTTCAAACTCAGGCTGTGGGAAGCTGGGAGAGGCTTAGGTTATGAACTTTGAACCTCATTGAATACCCTTTTCTCACCTGTCTTCCCGTAAAGTGAATCTTGGTGAAATCAAAGCCTTCACACTCTTGAATCTGAGTAGTGCTGACTAGAGCAACACTCACTCCCTCCTCAAGGACCAGCTCTGGTGTGCACCCCTGAGGCCCTAGCTCTCCATCTCCAGAGAGAGAGCTGAGGATCCCCGCTAGCAAATGATGAGTCTTGACAAGGGGAGAACCTGAGCCCGTCCCCTTGTTTTGAGTGACACACACAGGTGCCACCCCTTCCAACATCCTGTGCAGGCAGGCATGGCTCATCTCTCACGCTGCTCTGTTCCTTGGAGCCTGGATGTGAGACCTCAGAAACTTTATGAACACAGCATTACTAACCTTTCATGTGATCATTATTTTCATAACTTAACAATAGTTATTAGGAACCTATTATCACCGCAGATGGTGACTGCAGCCATGAAGTTAAAAGATGTTTGCTCCTTGGAAGAAAAGTTATGACCAACCTAGACAGCATATTAAAAAGCAGAGACATTACTTTGCCAAGAAAGGTCCATCTAGTCAAAGCTATGGTTTTTCCAGTAGTCATGTGTTGATGTGAGAATTGGACTATAAAGAAAGCTGAGCACCGAAGAATTGATGCTTTTGAACTGTAGTGTTGGAGTAGATTCTTGAGAGTCCCTTGGACTGCAAGGAGATCAAACCAGTCAGTCCTAAAGGAAATCAGTCCTGAATATTCCTTGGAAGGACTGATGCTGAAGCTGAAACTCCAATACTTTGGCCACCTGATGGAAAGAACTGACTCACTGGAAAAGACCCTGGTGCTGGAAAAGATTGAAGGCAGGAGGAGAAGGGGACAACAGGATGGGACGGTTGGATGGCATCAGTGACTTGATGGACATGAGTTTGAGCAAACTCTGGGAGTTGGTGATGGACAAGGGAAACCTGGCATGCTGCATTCCATGGGGTCACAAAGAATCAGACACGACTGAGTGACTGACTGAACTGAACTGAGACCTATTGTATGCCTGGCAGTGATATGAAAAGGGAAGGAAGACAGGAAAGAAGGAAGAGAAGGAAGAAATCACAGAGGATAGGTAAATAGATAGACATAGATGATGAAGAAAATTGGTGCTATAAAATAAATGAAACGGGGCAGTGGTTAGTGATTGGTTAGTTGGAAAGAGTGACTTTGGGTATGATAATTAGGGAGGGCTTCTTAGAGGAGGTAGCTCGAGAGTTATTTCAAGAGTAGAGGGTGGGGAGCCAAACAAAAAAACAGTGGGTACCAAGATCCTGAAGCAGGAGTGACGTGGCATGGTCCACCAAGCCTGGGGGAGGATAAACCCAATGAGCTGTCCTGAAAGCAGCTCTTTGCCGTTTTCGGTGTTGCCTGCTTATCATCCTAATCCTTGGTGATGTGAAGTGTAAGTTTGATTCACAGATGTGTAGGTCAGGGTTCTGTCTCCCCACTTGGCCATCTTCACTCAGGCAGCATTTCTAGTGAAAGTGCAATTGGATTGCATTTCCTGGATAACTTCAGTTTTAGCAGTAAGTGTGCAAAGAAGCAATATGGTATCATGGCTGAGAGAGTGAGTTGTCCCATTAGAAGCTTCTGAGGCAGATGCCTCCTCCCCTTACCGGCGCTCTGACTGCAGATGAATCCTTTCACATTCTCTACATCTCAGTTTTCCCATGGAGATAAGTGGAGATGACACTGTCCATCTCATAGGAGTGAAGATGACTCCCTGAGTGCCCAAGTCACTGAAGAGTTGATTCACAAATTTAGCAATTTACCACAGCCCAGCATTGAAGAATATTTCTCCTATGTGTTTTAAATGAAAATGAATATTCTTCAGAAATACGTATGCTTATTATATGTTTGACATACATTCAGAATATTTAGGAATATAGTAAAAAAAAAACATGTGTTGCTCATTAATACATCCTTCATGAATATCATCATTTAATCAAACAGAGTGGGGAATATTAAAAAGTAATTCCCTCCTCTCTATGACTAAATTACTTTCAGCAGTAATCACAGAATCAGGTGAATAACAAAATGGCCAGCAAAGAAGTACAAACACTGAAGATTTTCCTGTATATTTGTTTACATAATCTTGCCAGTACAGAAGAATAAAAATAAAAGTAGATATTGGGCAAAGAAGAAAAATATAGTTATCCTTTAGTTTTTATATCTTGAGATTAAACTTTGATTCTTTGGTTATAGACTCTAATATTATTTTATGTAAATAATTGTTTTGTAACTAATAAGTGAATTTTAATAAAGCTATAATGTCTGTAAAAGGTATGATTTAGGCAACTACCATATGGTAGCTTGTAACCATTTAATTTTCTTGATTTGTTCTTTCATTTAAAACAAACAACAATTAGAAATGAAGAATACATCTCAGTGTCAAATTCAGTATAGTGTTTCATGTATGAACTAAAATATGTACTCACCAAATGAAAATATTGCACCTTGCAGTTTTCACTTTGTTTCATTGTTTTAACTTTTAAAACACAAATAAAAACTTCAGTGGAATTGAAGTACTGCAAGTTCTGTTTCTGTCTTTGTAATCAGCGTGCTATCTGTGTTTGCTTTTAATTTACAGTTTAAAGGTAGGTATTTGTTGTAACACAGGGCTGGAAACACCAGCTGAGCCACTTGGAACTATTATAGTGAAAAATTTATCTCAAAGGAAGCCCTGTAGCTGGGTTCACCTGTGGGGAACTGGCTGTAATTGGCAATTCTCTGTATTAACTTCCTCATAGAATACAATGTTTACTAAAGGATAAATTAATAAGAATGTGTTCATTTGAAGCTTACACATATCACTTAAACTCAACAGTAACCCCTGATTGTTCAGAACTTAGACCAAAAAAAAAAATGTTTTTTGAGGGGAATGTATTTTATCATTGACATTATTTAGAACTGCCAGGATATGGCATGATAAAGAGATTAACTTTCAGCTGGTGTTATTATCGCTTTTGAGGTCTCTGTAGACAATGTGGGGCTTCCCTGGTGGCTCAGAAGGTAAAGAATCCACCTGCAGTGTAGGAGACCCAGCTTTGATCCCTGGGTTGGGAGGATCCCCTGGAGAAGGTTATGGCAACCCACTCCAGTGTTCTTGCTTAGAGAGTTCCACGGACAAAGGAGCCTGTTGGGCTATGGTCCATGGGGGTGCAGAGTTGGACACGACTGAGTGACTTTCACTTTCATAGACAGTGGACCCCTCCTACCACCTTGCCCTCAAGTAAACCATTGCATTTATAAACAGTGACACAATTACTCTTTTAAATTTTGATACCTGTCAACAGGCATCAGAGGGTTCTCTGAGGCAGTAGGTATCTGACTGTAATCAGAAGGACTTCCTTGAAGAAGGCTGTTTAAAAAAAAAATTATTGAGTATAATTCACATGCCATAAGGTTGACCCTTTAAAGTGTACATATCAGTGGCTTAGTATTTTCACGAAGTTTTGCAACCATCCCCTCTAATTCCAGAACTGTTTTGGTAACCCTAAAAGACACCCCGTGCCATAAGCAGTCACCCCTGGTCCCCCACCCCCAGCTCCTGGCAGCTACGGATCCACTTTGTGTGGTCAGCTTGGGTTGTACCCTGATGGATGAGTACAAGTCGCTTTATTGAGCAGTTAGGGCGAGAGGGTTTCCGGCAGACAGCTGTATGGACAGCGTCCAGCAAAGGGACGACGCACAGTCAAGGAACTCATGGGGGATGTGTGCTGTCAGCACAGAGGGTGCCGGGCTGGCCGTGCAGCCCCCCTGGAGGAGCTGCCTTCTCCTCTAGTGCACGGGGCCTGCCGGTCTCACGTAGAAACTCCCACCCAATACTTGCCCCGAAAACGCTGAGTGAGCAGACAAGTGACTTTAACTCTCACACCCTTTTAAAACATCATAAAGCATTGTCTTATATTAAATATTTGTAACATAAAGCCAGGCATAAAAGAGACATATATATGTGTATTCCTATAGTCATGGTGTATTCTCACTGTATTTTGTAGCAATCTGGACTTTTATACTAAGCAAATAAATGAACTAAACTTGGAAATCAGCAGTAACTTATGTTCTCAGGAAACAGTAACTGCAGAATTGGAATTTCTTACTGAGATTTGACAGAATGGAGGGTGGAATTCAGACTAAGGAATTCGGCTAGGTGGAGATTCAGAGCAAGTTTTTTCTCATTTGAATTTCTTCCTTTTACCTTAAAAAAATGCTTTTATTGAATACCTGTACTTGATTTCCCTGGGAAAGTTTTGTACAGCCCTCATTTGAGGGGCTGGACCCTAAAAGGCTCTGTCCTCTCTGCTCTGACCATTCTACTCCATGTCCCCCACAAACACATTTATTAGTTTCCCAAGAAACCTTCCAATCTTGTTTATGCAAATACATGCCAACATGGATACACATTCTTAATTACTTACCTCCTCCTTTCAGGAAAGGTAGCATGTTATTCTAAAATTTGCTTTCCCCACTTACTATGTTACAAAGAGTTTTTCCTTCTAAAATATAAATAATATATTTATAATATAAAAATATAAATATATAATATATATAATATATAAAATAATATAAAAAATATAAAGAGCCCCTCATTTTTTAAAAACAGCTGCATCATGGTCCCGTGAAACTGGTTTATCTAACCACTTTTCTCTTGATGGACGCCTGGATGTTTCTAATTCTGCCCACCTCCACCCCCTGCCCCCCTTGCAAATGATGCTACTACCATGAGACATCTTGTTCATATATAATTTTGTACAAGTGTCACTGTGCTGAAATTCCCAGAGGTGGGATTTCTGGGTGAAGGTAGTACATTAGTCCTTTTGACAGATTTTGAGCACCAAGTTGCCCTACAGGAGAGATGAGTCATTTTATTTCCACAAGCTGTGTTTGCCTGCAGCATCACCAGCAAAGTGTGTTCTCAAACTTTTGGGTTTTTCCAACTGATGGGCGAAAAGTGGTATCACTGTAGTTTTATTTTGCCTTTCCTTCAGTGAAAAATTTTCATAAATTTAAGAGCCATTTTTGTTTGTTTTGGTGACCTCTATTTCAAATCCTTTGCCTGTTTTCCATTAGGTATTTATTTTTTCATAGTCTCAATTTCTAAGAGCTCTGTATTTTCAGGAGGTATGAGTTGCAAATATTTTTCCCATTTGTTATTTCTCTTTTCTCTTTGCTATGTCATTTTTTCCTCTCTAGAAATTTTTTGTTGTATATAATAATTTTTAAAATGACTTTAGTTCGTCATATCATAGGCAAGCCTTTTCTATTTCAAGATTCTAAAGAAATT